TTATTTGAAATTAAAGTTATCTTTAAGGTGAAAATTAAAAACCTTTAATTTAAATTCTAATATAATAAATTACACAAAAAAAGTTAAAAAATTTATTTTTTTATTTATTAAAATATTTAATTTAATTTTAAAATTTTTTAATTTAACATTTTTTTTTCTAAATTTAAGTATAATAAATTAAGCCTGCTATGACTAATGGAGGTTTTGTAAATAATTGAGGAATTTTTTCATGAATTCTATAAGCAAAATTTTTGTTTTTGTGTATATATTTATCTTTACGTAATAAGTTTTGTTAAAGAAAAAAATATTTGTATACATATATATTTTATAGTTTATTTAGGCAATATTGGTAACTCGACCATTATTTTAAACTCAATAATTCTTTTCAAATTTTAGATTTAGTATAAGTTTAAAAAATCATTCAATAGAACCCTTTTGAAATAACGTTTTCTTAGTTCCCTTTTAATTGGTTATTCCCATTTCGCAGCTTTTTTATTTTGATTTTATTTTTTGCTCAATAATTTCCATATGAAATTTCACAATTTTTCGCAAATTTCTTTAAAATTTTATTCACTTTATAAAATTGTTTCGAAAACACACAGGAGTTGTTAAACAAATTTATTTTGCTGTCAATCAGTTACACACTTTTGCCACTTTCCACTTGTTCTTCTAACGGTATTACGCATATTTCTACAATCAAGTCATTAACAAGTTGAAACTGACACTGGCAAGCAGCCAACAGCCAACAGCTAGCAGCCAGCAGCCAGGAAACCGGAAATTGTAATTCAACACACACACACACATACATTTTATATGGCTGCATATGTATGTGTTGTGACATTTAAAATTTATATTTTTTTCATATTCATATACCTTCACTATAAACCACAATGGTTGTATTCCTTTTAGTTTTAATCAAATTTAGCTCCTTATTGAATACAATAACAATTTCACTGCACTTCTTATTTGAGCCAATTGTATTTTTGTTTTTCGCTTTCTAATTATTTCAATGGGACTGGCGAAATGCCGCGTTGTAAATTGAAACTTGTCTGCTCCGCCCGATTGCCAAACGCAAACTGAATTGTCCAGCAGCAACAAGTGGACGACAAAGGCCAGAAACCCACCGCGCACGAACAGTTAAGCACCGCCAACATCTTCAATCGGCCACCAGAGTAGCAGCGCTAACAGCAATTGGGACAGCGCTGTAAAAGAATTTCTATGTACATTATCTAGACAATTATCTTCTTTCACAGTTGCCGACTTGAGCCGCAGCAGCAGCAACATCCAAGGCCAAGTCCAAGTCCAAGAGCAGAGAGAGAGAGCAACATTGGAAAAGAAAGCGGTTTAAAAGCAATATCGACTCTCACCTGTGACGTGAGGAAGAGAAGTGTGTGTGTGTATGTGGCTGCAGAGTGCATAGTGGACATGCTCAGATAGATTTCGTTTGTTCTCGCCCAAAGTTGGACACGCGTGAGTAGCGAGATTTTTACTTGTCGCACTTGACTGTCCAGTTGCGCACCTGTTGCCAGTGACTTGCGCTGAGATTAAGCAAAAGAGAATAATAATGCAAGACATAAACACTGTCAAATGTAGCAGTAAAGTAAAGTTCCCTGCAGGAAAAATAATTATTTTTTAGGAAATCTTCTTTCTGAAGATCTCTTTTTTTTATAAAAACATTTCTAATACAGAACGGCAAAGAAACTTCATACAAAAGAGTTTGTGACGAAATATTGGAATCCCAACCAACTTCAAGAAAAGCGTTAACTTCGGCTGCACCACTGTTTTTATACCCTTTTATGCTATAAAAAAAATGCAACTGTGAAGATAATATCCTTCATGTGGGCATAAAAGGGTATAAAAACATCTTTATCGGCCAGTTTATATGGCAGCTATATGCTAAAGTGGTCCGGTCTAATCAATATGTTAGGAGATTGTATCGATTGCTTGGATAATAATCTATGTCAAATTTCGTGACGATCCCTACAAATGAAAAAGTTTTCCATACAGGGGCTTGGGTTCGATCAAATTAACCGATACACTTTTATATGCTTTAGTAGTCCGATATCGGCGGATCGGCTAAATGAACATCTACTTTGAGAGAAAAAGACGTGAGCATAATTTCATGTCGACATCTGAAAAACTGAGGGACTAGTTCGCGTATATACTGACGGACATGATGTTACCAAAATAGCTGGAAAAGCATTGGAAGAGAATAGGTGATGTTGGAGTGACAAACAATACTGCATTGTCATTACCCTGGACATTAAAAACAGCTTAATTTCAACGAACTTGACTCTAGTTATTAGAGCTCTGACAGAGTACTACTTAGTATATGACACATAATTTGGACCTGAAGAGTACAAAGTTACAGGCGGTGTACCGCCAGGGTCAGTTCTCGGCCCTGTACTCTGGAACGTAATATACAATGGTAATCTGAGAGCCGCGATGAAGGATGCAAAAAAGATAGCAGGATATTCGGACGACATTCCGGTCGTAGTTGTAGCGAAAAGCCTTGACGAGACGGGGAAAAAAGCATTAGCAATATTAAAATTGAACTCAGACTGCTGGTTTACAACTAGCTGCTCACAAAACGGAAGTGGTATTAATGACTAGTTTCAGCAGAGTCGAGACAATTGAAATATGAATTGATGGGCGTACTATAAAAACGGGCCCATATCTCAAATATCTGGCAGTAATCCCGGATCACAGACTTTCATTCAAGCAGCACCTTATAGCCACACATATCAAAGCGGCGAGGTCTGTGTCGGCAATTGCTAGAATAATGTTGAATGTGCGGGGACCCTGACAACTAGTGAGATGAGTGTAGATTATTTTATACGCGGCGCCGACGAAACGTAGTAAGCTTTATGCTAACTTTCCATATCGCATGAGTGAAATAATAGCGTATATTATGCAAGATGGATAAGACGAAATCGCTGTTAAACCGAGAAAGATGTTCGAAATTGCTTTCTGGGTGTTACAAAAAAAAAAAAAAAAAAAAAAAATTTTCAGCAAGATCGTCACAAAAAGTTTGAAAATTAGCATATCTAAATCATAAAGTATTTATCTCACACAAAAACTACACAATACCTCTTCAAGAGTAACTCGTCTTGTCAAAAAGACAMAATATTGCAAACACCTACGAAAAAAGCCAGGCAATCTTTGCAAACACAATCAGCGACAAATGATCTTTTGCACTACTCACTTTGTCGAATCCTTACTGCCCTTAGTCTGATTATTAACATGTATGACAACTTCATTGATCTCTCGGCAAGCACAATCATTAACAATTGACGATTTATTGCTATTGTGCCAACATTGAGGCGGATAAAGATGCGAAAAGTAGTGCAACAATGGCAAACGGGAGACATTGCAAAGGCGTGTGGCCTGAGGAATGCCACTTCCTAAATAGCTCTATTACTGTGGTTGTTGACTTGCGTGTGCATAATGATCTTCTGACAAGCATACAATGCTCGCTTTGTGCTATGATAGCTAAGATCCCTCGACAAATGCACTAACATACACATAGGCGCATAAGCATATACGCTTGTGTGAGTGTGGCGTTCCCTCAACGGCGCAGTGCCAATAAATTTTGCTAATCATCGCGAATGGGCGCTTCGGTGCATTCGGTGTTTCTGGCAAACGAAGGTGCTGAAATCGATCGCAATCTGCTGATCTGTTGTCYTGTCACGTGGTCGCACACATGTACATGTACGTATGCAAGTAGGCTTGTTGGCATTAAAAGATCAGTGTTAAGCCAACAAGGAGTGCCAAAAGGATGCATTTTCTGCAAGGGGTCCGCGCTTATGCTGTGAGTTATTGTTTGCTGAATTGGCAATTTTCTTCATCGTTCGAGGTGTGTGTGTGTGTGTGTGTGCAGATTATGTAAATCGAATTTAAATGCGATTTTAAGTGTTGTTCGCACACAATTTGCATTCGCACCATATTTTTTGCAAATATTATAATTTTTTTTTTTTGGGCTCTTGCCCGAATGAAAGTATGCAAATTAGTTGATTGGTTGGTTGGTTTTTTAAACAATAATTTCTCTTTTCTTTTCAGCGTCTTTTGTTGTGTACGTGCTTATTACATGATTAACGGGAATCCTTATGAACTCTTGACATGTTGTAAGACTCTTGCGTGAGAACTACAAATATTTTCATGATYGCCAAGAAGTGATCGACAAGCGCGAGCTGTTGCTTCCTGGATGCATATATGTATGAATGTATGTGCGGATGTACATGTTTACATGTGGATGCATGTACGTGTATATGTGCATGTAAATTTGTGTGTGCGCATACATTTTTGCACTCATCAATCCATATGCTTCACTCATCAAGCTGTGTGTAAGAACTTCATTAGTGTGTTTTTGGCGAGAGGAAACTTTTCGAGTAGCTTAAAGGATTATGTGCGAAATTATATGCAAATTTCCAAACATCATAATATATGTTTACAAAAATAAAAGGTTTAACATGCAAGTGAGCAGTTCTTATAACAGYTTTTTACATAACCTCTCTTATATACATATGTTGTATATACATATGTTATCCAGAAATTACTAAAAATCGGATCACTCTCCGCCTTACCGCTATTTTCCCGCGTTTCTAACGTTCTTACAAATATTTAAAAATCGAAATATATTCGAAAAGCAGCTACTCCTTTCACTCACCAAATATCAAACAACAGATGCAGCGGCTTCTTTCAAAATGCAAAAGTTCTCAGCCTTTATCAACGTTACTCATAAAAAAGTAGGAAAATTTTAAACTAAAAAAAAAAAAATGATTTAAAAAGTTTCGAAACTCATCTTCACACGCTTTTCTTGCAAGCGATTTGAATAAATCGCCGTCGCAACGCCAGCGTAAATAAAATCCAAGACCAAGACCAAAAGCAGCAGAAAAAAAAAAGAAATGAATTCAAAAACACAACCGAAAGTGGTAAATAAGTGAAAAATCAAATAAAAAATTACGAAAAAAMTGCTCATATTTATCATGTTAAGCGTTTACCTAGGCAAATAGATAAATGCCAGCGCCAGCAAGGATGCTCAGCGGCTGTCTAGGCGCTGGTGGTGGTGGCAGTTCTTTGCATATGTACGTCTCTGTGCGTGYGTTTGTGTGCGTTTCGTCCTTAGGCGATTCTGTATGCAGATGAGTTTTTTGCCGGTGCTTCTTCGCTTGACGCGTCCTTGTGTGTGTCCTTTCGTCGGTCTGCTGGCGCGCATTGTCTGATTTGATTAAACAAAAGGGTTTGATGTTGATGATCCGGTTGCTGCTTGCGTTGCTGCTGTTTTGGCGGAGCGTCACGTAAGCATTCTTATTTTCTAATTTYTTCTACATTAGTTAAGGTATTTAGAAAAAAATGTTGAAACCCTTTCATTTTTAATATTTTTTTTTTAGATTTTAAATTTTTTTTATAAAGCACGACATTTGATGCTATTTTTAATTTCACTTTCGCGTGAGAACTTTTCAATTCGTTGTGAAACTACGATTTTTTTATTTCAAAATTAGCTAATACTATGAAGAATAAAATGAAGAAAAGAGTTTTTATTCATTTTTGTTTGCTAAGTAGTTTTTTGGGTGAGTTCTGCTCTGTGATTTAAATATTTTAGTATTTACTTGTGTTAATGAAATATTTAAACCGCTGAGGTTGAGATTTGTAGTATTTATAAATATCTCGGCGAGCAAACGGTATAGTGTAGCTGTATTGCCTGTAAGCTCCGGTAGAAGAAATTATCTCTGGAACTGAGAGGTTATCACAAGCTTTGCRATGCTGAGCATTATCATTAATTTTTTAAGTTTAGCAATGTGCTACCTATTATTTATCAAGAACGATGGCGAGCTCTAAAAAAAAAAACAAAATGCCAAATGTTTACAGTTGTTGTAAATAAAGCAGTTTTCGTTCTTGCCTATTGAGTCCACAAACTTATAAATTCCTCTATCAAACACACTTAAAAAATAATAATGGGACTTAACTGTCGTAATTTATATTTCTATCGTTGTTGATTTGCTGTTAGTTTGTATTTTCTCAATATAGTCACGTTCTTTTGCTAAAAATATTCAAGAAGTAGATATATGTATTAAGACCAGAGACAAAATTAAGACTTCAATCTGACGTATGATTTTAGTGAGAAGTTGAAGTATTTTTCAATTTGCAGAACTGGCTGTAAGATCAGCTGCTTAATCACAAATGCTTGACGCTTTGGCAAGTTTTGTAGAAAAGTGTGGTAAGTAAATTTTATGGGTATGTATGTACTATATATTATGGAACACAAAATATAAATATTAATACGAAAGAATCAGCAGTGTACGCATAAAATTCTAATATTCCTACTACTTCGTCGCTTTAATGCCCAACAAATTTGTATAAATTATACCCATATACTATATATATATTTCAATTCAAAACAGGAATACGTTAATTGAATACCTATTTGGTCCCTTGCTGACTAAAACACACAGTTTGTTAGTCCATTTGAGGTACTGCCAGATTTCTGGCAGATTTCTTTTTTTTACCGAAATCATTCCCTTAATTTATTTCTTAAATCTCCTTACCTCTTATTTGCATACAGCCRTACATGCTGGCATCTAAAACTCTTAAAAATTTACTTAGCGGTCGGTAAGAGTGAGGGTTGAAAGTTCACGTGTTTATCATTTTTTATATCCTACAAGTTGACATAACCTAAGAACGCATTTTTTTTCGTGTTGTCATACTTTGAGTGAAGATACTGGGTTAATTCAAAGGGTTTCTTCTTTCAAGCAGATTTGCATAATGTCGTGTCTGCGTGCAAGGACGTTAGTTGGCCCAAACGAGCGCTGTAAGACTAACGGGGTTATGGGAACAAAGGTGCTGCTCAACTATGCACAAAGGTGGTAGAATCAATATTTTTAGTAATTAATTATCAAATGTGATTGATGAAGAAAGCAAATAATAGAAGTGAAAGCATGTAAATGAAGTAAATGCTGCATACTTATGTATGTATGGGCACTTGTATATTATAAATACACATAAACCGATTTAGTATATATCTAGTTTAGGTAATAGGAATTATTTACTAGTCATTCCTTGTTTTTTTTTTTTTTTTAATAATCGCCAAATACTGAAGCTTAGCAAATCGAATAAAAATCATAAATAACAAACTTCTAATGTTGATTTCAAGAGAKCACAGTTTAAACACAGGGAGTAGAAAACTATTAAATCGAAAAATCGAAACCGACTGATTGATTTTGGTCCAAGCATAATTAATAAATAAAAAATTGCAACACATAATGCAATAAAATTGTAATTATTTAATTTTTTGTTTACACAGCTTCTATATATTCAATTTTAATATATAATTCTTTTCTCTTTTGTTCATCTAACTGCTTTCACTCATTTGAATTCAAATTCCTTCACTTCCTCCGGTTTTTATCCAACAAAACCGAACCGACCATAGTTCACCACGATACGAAGATTCCACCACTTTATGATTTTGGCAGCACTTTACAGTTGGCCGGCAAATGGCATTACTAACATCTGACACTCTGTAACGTAATTGAGTGGAGCAAAAATATAGCAAACAAAAACAACAAAAGAGACACGTAAGTGAATATAGCGTCTACGTTATTTGCATCACGAAAGCAGCAAAATATTGGCTAGCAAAAAATTATTTATCAACAGATATTGAATTGCATCAGTTTGCTCCCCGTGTAAATATTACTAAATTCGTACAGATATACAAAAAGAAAATTAAATGAAAACTTCCAATTCTTTCATTTWCAAAACTTGAAGTGCAACATCCATTAAAACAAGATAATAGTGACTGGTGAACTTTCACTGAAAATTGTTTACAATTTTATATGAGAATAACAAGGGGCGGAGGCGACTAATGTTTTGGGAATGCTATTAGACATTTGCAAATAAATATACCGTACATTTACCAAMATAATTTAATAATCGACTAAAAGGTCACCTGTTAAGGTGAACGACTACGGTAGCCCAATGGCTAAAAAGCAATTGATATGCAATGGAGCGTGGTACTTAACGCTGACGCTGTGCTTTATTTTGTGGGTGCGTCATAGTAGTGGATACTTTACCGCCTACGATGAGTTGGATACAAGTAAAAACTGCTTTTGTGAGGTTCGTTTATCGAAAATAATTTGACTTACCCTTTTCGCTTTTCTAATGGTATTTTACTCTATTTACAGTTAAAGGGCTCAATAAACGATTGCAGTTGCACCATTGACACTGTAGATCATTTTAATAACATCAAAATTTATCCACGTCTCAAATCGCTGCTGGTGAAAAACTTTTTCCGTTTTTATAAAGTAAATTTGAAGAATACGTGTCCTTTCTGGCCGGATGATAGCAGATGTGCTATACGATTTTGTCAAGTGCAAAATTGTGATGAAGAACATATACCCAAAGGTTTAATTGAGAAAAGCGAAAATACAAAATCTGCAGCTTTTAAGGTGGGCGTACTGTGATGTGTGTTACATATATTCATAATTGGTAAAATCTACGCAAGTTATTAATTATAAGCCAACTCATCGTTATAGGCTTATCTAATTACTGCATATTTGTTGTAAAGTGTTAATGAATAGTGCTTGCCACGTAAACGCAAATAATCGCTTTCGTAAACGCGTTATCATTATTTGCAGTAACTCGGTTTTTTTTATACTATGACTCTCATTAATATATTAAAACAATAAAAAGTTATATATAATTTCAGTCTAAAGCTAGTAAGATATAATACATATTTATTGTTATTTGCATCAAATACTACGTGGTTATATACCTCACGAAAGCAGTGATTTTATCAATCAAAAGTTTAATATAGTATTTGTTATCATATTAACATCCCGTCTACGTAGATTAACTAATCTAATGATAACATATTTTTTTTTTATTGAACAGTACACCAAAGAGGCACAATCGTCGGAATGCTCTGAAGCCGAGGACTACAATAGCGTTTTAAGTTATTTGGACACAAGTCTGAGTGATCAGGCGCACCGTGAGTTCGAGCGTTGGGCCAAGCACGATGAAGCGGAAGAAGATTTTTGTATTTTGGAGGATGAAAACAATGGCTCTCAGTATGTAGATTTATTGATAAATCCCGAACGCTATACCGGCTACCGAGGTGAATCCGCACATCGCATATGGCGTAGCATTTATATGGAGAACTGTTTTGGACGTAAAAATGAATCAAAATCACTTTCGGATTTCATACCACAACTCGATTTAAATGACGTGTGCTTGGAGCAACGCGCCTTTTATCGCATTATTTCGGGTCTACATAGCAGCATCAACATACATTTATCCGCGAAATATTTGCTATCTGAATCAAAAGATTTTCTGGATCCTCAAGGTATTTGGGGACCAAATGTAGAGGAGTTTAAACGACGCTTTAGTCCGGAGACAACAAATAGTGAAGGACCACATTGGCTGCGAAATCTCTATTTCATATATTTGGTGGAATTGCGCGCATTAGCCAAAGCTGCGCCATATTTACGGCGTGAGGAGTACTATACCGGTATTGCAGAGGAGGACGAAGAGGTGAAATTGGCTATAAATGATCTACTATCTGTTATAGAGTGAGTATGCGGTACAATTGCTTGTTACTTTATGTGTGTATATGTTATATGATGACTTTAATTATTTTTTATGTTTTTGTCGCAGATCATTTTCTTCACATTTCAATGAGAACGTGCTGTTTTCGAATGGTGTGACATCGCTTAAGTTCAAGAATGAATATAAAGAAAAATTCCGAAATATTTCCCGAATAATGGATTGCGTGGGTTGTGATAAATGCCGACTATGGGGCAAACTGCAGGTATGCAATAAACAGTAAAAAAACAGAAATTTATTCTATATCGAAATTCATAAATATTTATTTATTATATTGTACCATAAATTCACAGACTCAAGGCCTYGGTACAGCGTTGAAGATTCTCTACTCCGAAAAGTTGAATGTGGCGACAGAGAGTGGCTTGTGGGAACGACCGCATATAGAGGAGAATCCGTTATTTAAACTTTCACGTACAGAAATTGTATCGCTATTCAATGCATTCGGACGGTAAGTACTATCTTGTCTCTCTCACAGTGTGAAGTGAAAGTCTAAAAAAGCAATAAGTAATATGTTTTTCTTCTTCCTCTTTTTGCTAGACTTTCAAACAGCATCTTCGAGATGGAGAATTTCCGCAATTTGCTACGGTAATAAATACACATGTGAAACACTTGCCGCTGCTTTTGTATTTGCTAGCTAATGCGACAGACAGCAAAACCAATTATCAATG